ATTTTGAATTTCAATTAATTTGTTTATTTTTGTTTTTTTTTGTATTCAATTAATTATTTAATTTTTTTCTAGTTTTTCAATTAGTTTTTTTTTTTTATTTTGTAATCTTAATTTTTTTTAACTATAATATTTAGTGTATTTTAAAATTTAAAATTAAATACTCTAACTAAAAAAATATATTTATTTTTATTAAGAATAAAATATAAAAATAATATTGAATGAGTGGGTAATGAGTCCCATATATTTGTGTTAAATGAATGATGGAATGTGTGTGTGTGTGTGTGTTTTTAAATGGAGAGATAGTTAGTAAAAAAATGATGTGAAAATGATGTGGATAAGAGAAAGTATAAATTGTTATTGAATGAATTTTAAGGGATGTGGATGCACTAACATATATTGACACATACTTTACATTTTATTCTGACTATCCTTAAAGAGTAATGCTACATAACCAACCTAGTGTACAACTAGGTTGACAACACAAGTGAAAACATTTATAAAATAAAAAATAAAAAAATACACAAGTAGATGTTTACTTGTCAACCTAGTTGTACGCTAGGTTGGCAATGTAGCATTTTTCATCCTTAAAACGTAGAAGAAGCATTTTGTACACGTTATATATAGCATCGAAAAAAGTTCACGCATTCCAATGCTACCCCTCCCAAATCCACCATCTTCACTCACCAACCTCACTCGCTGTCTCCAGCTCATTTCCACGTACACACACCTCCCAATTATTGGGGCCGCAATCCTCTGCGACGCGGCCTCAGCTGTCCGCAAAAAGTGGCTCGTGCCTGTACAAATCATAGGGCGCCCAGAGGTGATCCAAGGTACAAGGCCTATTAGCGTCGAGCCTCAGCCAGGGCTTCCCCTTCCCGCTCCAGTGCAGCAGGCTCACTAGACCAGGGTGCAAATCCCTACACTGCCCCTCCACGTTATCCCCTCCCAGCCCGTGCTGGTTCCACCGGTGCTCCACAGCCTCAACGTCTCCGGCGAACACAAGCAGGAACGGCGGCAACGACCCCAGATTGTATATACGGTGCCGTTTCTGCACCCGCATCCAGTGCTCCAGCTTCTGGGTCAGCCTGTTGGCGCGCCATTTCTCCAGATCTATCACCATCACGCCGGTGTTGAAGTAGCAGGGGCGTCGGTCTCTGAATGCGCCGGCGAACACGGGATTGGACCAGAACCTGGACGTGAAGTAGAGGGTGAAGTTGGCGTGGCAGTACTCCGGGGCACCCAGGACGGCAGACCGGAGGTTGGTCCGCCATAGGGCAGCGATGTCGTCCACCACGATGAGGTCAGAGTCGAGGTAGACGACACGGCGGACGGAGGTGGGGAGGAGGTCGGCGAGGTAGATTCGGGCGTAGTTGAGGGGCTGGTCGAGAGCGCGGCGGACGGAGGAGGAGATGAGGGGGCGGACGATGGCGGGCTCGAAGGAATAGAGGCGGAGGCGGAGGTAGGGGAAGGCGGCGGCGAGGGTGGCGCGAAGGGCGGGGTGTTGGGCGGGGTCGGCGAGAAAGTGGAAGGCGGTGTTCTCCGGGCAGGCGGAGTGGCGGAGGACGGAGAGTACGGCTGCCACAGAGCCGCGGAGATAGGGAGTTGAGTAGTCGAGGGCCATCGCGATGTGAACGGATGCGGACGGGTCTGCCGGCGCCGGGCAGGAGTCGGCGTTGCGAAAAGCCGGCGCCTCGCGGAAGGACGGCGTCCGGGGTTGTACTGTGGCGGAAGGCAGCGGTGTTGGGAGAAGTAGAAGAAGGAGGAGGGTGGTGGTTAGGAGGCGCAGATCGAGTGGCATGGTGAAGAGTAAGGGACAGCTTTTTTCTGTGAGAGCTCTCAGGAGTCAGAAGTATCATTACTCATTAGAGTCAGACAGTGGAGATGTGGAGATTGAATTTTGGATTACTTTGGTCAATGTCATTTATGCCCCTTTCAAATAATTATTATATATTATATATCTGGTAAGGTGGTGTAGTCAGTCTGCTTCAAGTATTGATTCTGCTTTCTCTATACAAAAAA